CAAGTGGTTAAAATAGGACTAGCCGCCCTAAACAACGTATAGCAATCAATCGGCCGGGTCCAGGGAGAGATCGTCATTCCGCCGGCCCCGCCTGGGTGTCAGGGAAGACACACAGGCTGTTCCGGAAGCTTTACAGCTTCTGTGTTCGGCCTGCGTGGCTGCGCCCTTTCATCTCAGGGCCCATACCGAGGCAAACCAAATGCCAGGCTTCCTTTAGCAGCGTAACGCCCCTCCAACTTTGGGTGCACGCCAGCACAGGCTCTTGTAGGGCGGCCAATAAGAAGAGAACTGGGATATGAAGTGATGTCATCTCCCTGCCTCTCCCAAAGCTGCACGCCGCTGTAGAGAGGTAAGACAGGGCAGTCTACATGCCCATTTATTGTAATAAATAAATACTTGAGCTGTAGAAAATAATAACAAATCATGCTAGTACATGTTCCAGGCTAAGAGAAATTAATTGTATTAAAACAATGTTTTGTTTATTAAAGAAGTTGTTAAAAAATATTTATATATACCCTTCACACCAGAGCAGCAGTTGCTGGAACGCACAGCAATTGCTCACTAACATTCCCCCTTTGTTCTGGGACGGGAGTGGGTGTTGCGGTGCGGCACCACAGCCACGCCCCCCATTTTCCAAACGATCATCCGGCCCTCAGCATCGTCTGAGGGACAGTGAACTCTCCTAATTAGAGAGCCGCCTCTCCCTGCAGTTCCAGCGCATACTGCAGAATGGATTCTCCCACTCACTGCTTACTAATGATGAAGCAAGCCCTAAGGTCCCCTATAACAATGGTTCGGGTGAACACTGCTTCCAATGGGCTGATTAACTTGTCTAGGGAATCCTGGTCCTCTGCTGGAAGGTGCAAGATGAACTTCCTTGCTTCCTCTTCAAGGGCGTTAACGGCCAGATCCACCTGCTGTGTAGGTGGAACCATATATGACTGGATCAAGCTGCACAATTTCCTAATCTAGTCATCTAAATCCTTATCTGGTCCTGTATACTTGGACAGCTGTTGTGGTAGCAATCCCACCAGCAATAGGAAGTGTAACTCCCTCAGAGCTGCAGCCGACTGGCTATGATGTCGTGCTGCTCCCCTTACCACTGCCTGACCCTGTTTGTGACGCTAAGTGTTGTGTAAAGGTATCAGCCAAATGATCAGACCAGTGGTTATATGCAATTTCTATTTTACAAACAAAAATTTGACCTTAGTTGCACAGGGGACATAAAATTAACAAGGGGAGTGCAGTACAAAAAAATTCAGATAAACAGTGAAGGAAACAGGATTAGAAGAACAAATGAAACTATAGAGCAGTTCTTCAAATGGCCACTAGATGGCAGAGAAGTTTCAAAATTCAGTAAACTAATGAGAGGAAAAGAACAAAAAGAAATAGTCTCACGAATCCTTGTAGAAAGGATAGATCAGCCTCTCATACAGACTGTTAGCTGAGTGGATCTGCTGCTGTCTCCGGCTTCACAGACGCTGCTGCTGATAACTTCGGTCAGGAGGTTTTGGTTGCTGAAGGTAGGGCCACCCCACTGCAAGGACAGTTTCTCCAAACGGACTGCAAAAAAGTCCTCACCAGTGACTGGGGCTTAGGCCTCGTTCATACCAGATGCAGTGCATTCCGGCCTGTTTCTGGCCAGAACGCACTGCCTCGCATTGCGGCCGGCTCACTTTTTTGTTGGGCAGGAGGGGGCGTGGCGGTCCATTGCAGTGAATAGCATTGTAGTCACGCCCTCAGGCCGCAATTTTCCAAAGTTAAAGGCACCTGCACCTGTCACTGAATAAAGGGGCACTCCGCCACACATGCAATTTTTAAGCTTGGCATGTTGGATATCTATTTACTCGGCACAACCACCTAAAATTGGTGGAGAAAAGATTTAAGCACAAGGTGTTTGAAGGTGACAGGTTCTCTTTATGGAGCCTGCCCTCCAGTACAGAAGATCGAGCACAGAAAGTAGGGGTTCTTATCAGTTAGAGCGGTTAGAGTCTGGAACTCGCTGCCACTGGCAATGATTTCAGCTAAGAGTGTGGAATCATTCAAAAAGCATTTGGACAATTTCCTCAGAGACCGTAACATACAGGGGTACAGGTGCCCTTAAAAACAAGATCACACAGGGACTCATACCCATGCAGAATCATATGCATACACGCAATAGGTTGAACATGACTATGTAACCGTAGTGTTATTATAATACAATTTTTCCCCCTAAAACATAGTGTTTTTTGTGCACTAAAATTAACTCAAGTGTATTTTTCACTGTAATTTTGGGTTTGATAAAGAATTGTGCTAATATCATGTGACATAAACATTTGCAATTGCCACCATTTTATTCTACAGGGTCTCTGCTTTCAGGAAATATATAATTGTGGGTTTTTTAAAGTAATTTTCGGGCTAAAATGTGGATAAGAACACGTGTGCAAAAAAATATTTTGCCAGCAAAAGGGTTAAAGATGCTGCTTTGGTGTACTCGACACTGCGGTGATTATGTGCAGTGAACTGGACCACAATATTGTGCAGAGATGTTCTGCTAACAAAGGGCAGCTTGTTAACCCTTACTTACTAACAAGTTCATGGTGCTGAAAAATTCAAAAAGTCCATATCAAAATATTAGAAAAATATACCTAAAAAAATTAAACTACTACCTAAACCCCAAACATCAAAACAATAGAAGCCAGAAAATAAAGTGTACACTTAAAAAAAAAACTACCCCTAACAAAAAATATAGGGGGTAAAAACTCCACTCTCTGCAGTCACTATAATGTAACAGCAGCAATATGCAGCGCTGAATATAGAGCTCTATAAATCTATGCTAGCACACTACTAAAGGTGCCCATACACCTTACGATTATCGTTTGATAATCGTATGCGATCGACTTTTCGTACGACAATCGTAACGTGTGAATGTAGTGCCCGAGCGATAGTACTGTACAATCGTACGACTTTTGACGGTCAAGCATGTTTGAAAACTTTGGTCGATCGTACGATGTTCGCATGGTTGGGGGCGTCTCCGTCCATCATAAGTTGTACGAATAACACTGCGCATACGAACATAATTGCGCTCAATTACCGCAAGTCGTCCAGGTGTTTTTTTCTAACTACCGCTGATTGAACCTTGCGATAATCGGGGCAGGATGGGGCCGTCGTCCGAAAATCGTACGACGGTTCTATCATGGGACGAAAAGTTTCGTCCGATAATCGTAAGGTGTATGGGCACCTTTACACTGTACTACTAGCACAATCTGTCTCTCCTTCACAAACCTGTCAGCTGGCCCTCACTACTCACAACATACACTAACAGAAGAATGCTGGGAGAGCTAACTTTTATAGAGAGGGGGCTGGCACATTTTCAACGCCCTATTATTGGCCATAATGTTTCATCCAAACAGAGTTTACAGGTAAGGCACAGCATTATAGTTACATACATAGTTACATAGTATTTGAGGTTGAATACGTTCAACATTAGTCCATCAAGTCCAACCTATTAGGATCTCATTCTAGGAGTACCCGTACCCCTGTATATTACGGTCCCTTAAGAAATCGTCCAAAAGTTTCTTGAACAATTCCACATTCTTTGCTGAAATCACTGTCTGTGGCAGTGAGTTCCAGACCCTAACTGATCTTACTGTGAAGAACCCCCTTCGCCCCTTGTGCTGGAATTTTTTTTCCATCAATTTTAGGTGGTGGCCTCTAGTTTTTGTAATGGAGTTAATTTTAAACAGTTTATCGCTAATGTTGCTGCCACCATTGAACATTTTGTACATGGAGATCATATCCCCCCTCAATCTCCTCACCTCCAATGTGAACATGTTTAAATTTAGTAGCCTTGTCTCGTAGCTCTGGTCCTCCATACCCCTAATTAGTTTGGTTGCCCTCCGCTGGACTTTTTCCAACTCAAGGACATCTTTTCTTAGTACTGGTGACCAGAACTGGACCGCGTACTCCAGATGAGGTCGAACCAATGATCTATGGGCTATTATGGGCAAGTTATCTTTTGGTGCCTGGGTGAACTTGCCCATAAGTTCTCCATTTGTGTGAACATGCAAAGTTTGCCACAAACCCAACTTGGTGGCTAAGGCTGGGCACACACCTTACAACCATCGCAAGACTTTTGTCTTGCGATGGTTGTAAGGTAATAAAAAAAAGTACGATCTGCCTATCTTGGACAGGCAGATCGTACTTGCGATATCCGAAAGCCGCGCCCCCCTGAGGTGCGGGCTTCCGATTACCGCAATGCCGAACGGGCAGTGTGCGCTTGCGCACACCGGCCCGTCCGGCTTTTATCTTACGAACATGCTACACACCCGCCGAACATCATACGATGCTCGACGGGTTTTCGAACATGTTCCTAAGATAAAAGTCGTGCGACCTTACAGTAGTAGAGAATTGTGTGTATCTTCCTGCACTCCTTACCGGATCTCCTAGGAGATGATGTCTGTAATAGGGTGCTTGTAGCGACCACGGAGGCACCGTGTAGTCAAGTAGTAATTCCAAAAGATGTCACCAGCACTCCAAAAGTAGATTCAATATATTTTAATGACAACGGTCATTCAAAATCACAAGTACTTTCGGGGCCACGTTGGGTCCCCGTCATCAGGCTCAGAACGTAGAGGTCGCTTACAGGAGTAGAGGTTGCACGGCTTCCACACACCTTACGATAATCGTACGATCACGGGATTTGCAGCGATTATCGTACGATTATCGCAAGGTGTGTGGGCACTTTTACGCGAACCTCATCCCCCGTGGTTACATGTGATTAGGCACAGATGAGCGACTCTGGGTGCAAACAGTACATACCTGTGAATACCTGCTAAAGAGGAATACTGATTCTTGGTGGCATATGGGGCAAACTGGTCATGTGAATAAGCCCCAAAGTATCAGTTTTAAATGGCATGTTCAATTTTACAGTTTTTTCTTATTTTAAAAACAAATTATTATTTGGTTTGATGTAGAAGTACACTATTTTATGTAAACCTATCCCCTGTCACTTTCCACAGCTTTTGTTTTGCTCTGTCCTGTGCTCTAATGGCTCTTGCTGGATATGATCAATCAGGTATGTCATTTTTGTCAGTTTGTATGCTGTCTAATGTTTAGTAAACAATTATTTTCTTCCTCCATACCCCTAATTAGTTTGGTTGCCCTCCGCTGGACTTTTTCCAACTCAAGGACATCTTTTCTTAGTACTGGTGACCAGAACTGGACCGCGTACTCCAGATGAGGTCGAACCAATGATCTATGGGCTATTATGGGCAAGTTATCTTTTGGTGCCTGGGTGAACTTGCCCATAAGTTCTCCATTTGTGTGAACATGCAAAGTTTGCCACAAACCCAACTTGGTGGCTAAGGCTGGGCACACACCTTACAACCATCGCAAGACTTTTGTCTTGCGATGGTTGTAAGGTAATAAAAAAAAGTACGATCTGCCTATCTTGGACAGGCAGATCGTACTTGCGATAATCGCAAGCCGCGCCCCCCTGAGGTGCGGGCTTCCGATTACCGCAATGCCGAACGGGCAGTGTGCGCTTGCGCACACCGGCCCGTCCGGCTTTTATCTTACGAACATGCTACACACCCGCCGAACATCATACGATGCTCGACGGGTTTTCGAACATGTTCCTAAGATAAAAGTCGTGCGACCTTACAGTAGTAGAGAATTGTGTGTATCTTCCTGCACTCCTTACCGGATCTCCTAGGAGATGATGTCTGTAATAGGGTGCTTGTAGCGACCACGGAGGCACCGTGTAGTCAAGTAGTAATTCCAAAAGATGTCACCAGCACTCCAAAAGTAGATTCAATATATTTTAATGACAACGGTCATTCAAAATCACAAGTACTTTCGGGGCCACGTTGGGTCCCCGTCATCAGGCTCAGAACGTAGAGGTCGCTTACAGTAGTAGAGGTTGCACGGCTTCCACACACCTTACGATAATCGTACGATCACGGGATTTGCAGCGATTATCGTACGATTATCGCAAGGTGTGTGGGCACTTTTACGCGAACCTCATCCCCCGTGGTTACATGTGATTAGGCACAGATGAGCGACTCTGGGTGCAAACAGTACATACCTGTGAATACCTGCTAAAGAGGAATACTGATTCTTGGTGGCATATGGGGCAAACTGGTCATGTGAATAAGCCCCAAAGTATCAGTTTTAAATGGCATGTTCAATTTTACAGTTTTTTCTTATTTTAAAAACAAATTATTATTTGGTTTGATGTAGAAGTACACTATTTTATGTAAACCTATCCCCTGTCACTTTCCACAGCTTTTGTTTTGCTCTGTCCTGTGCTCTAATGGCTCTTGCTGGATATGATCAATCAGGTATGTCATTTTTGTCAGTTTGTATGCTGTCTAATGTTTAGTAAACAATTATTTTCTTGTCATTCAACCTATTTTTGTCTTGTTAACCTAAGTTCTCTTTTTTTTTTAATCGAGTTCCAAAGTATCTTTACACTCAGACACAAGATGCTAGTCACCCAATCCATTTTTTTGCTTTGTTTTAAGTTATCTTATTCGAAATTCAAATCTTAATCTAAAACATGTTCTGACAACTACTGCTCCCATGATAAGCTTCTTCCCGTTACCCACCCTCTCCTCTTTTTTTATCAACTTGTATGGTTGACTGAGCCTGCACAAAGGACACTTACTCAAGTCTATGAGAAGCTGGTGACAGAATTTTAAAATAAAGCAATATTTTTAAAAAAAAACTCTATACTTAGGTAACATTCACTTTTTTTTGTTGTTTTCCCTAAAAAGGAACTTTGCCCATATCTTCAAAATAACAATAGCACCTTTAGAAATTTTTAGTAATGACAATGTACAAACAGACACTTCTAGTTATTTGCAGGCTTTTTATTTTTTGCATACCTTATTTTTCTTTTCTTCCCCAGTCTTCTGACTGTGGCCATTTTAACTAAGGGCAGGTTACTACTTTACTTCCTGGAACTCTGGCACATGTTGCAGCAAAGTGGCATTAAAAAAATAAATACATTTTTTAACAGTCTGCAGAAGAGAAAAAAAAAGCGTGTGGTTCCCCCCCAATTGATTTAGGTCTGGTAGGAATGTTAGGAGGGTCCCCCCAAGTAAAAAAAAAGAATGCGTAGGGTTCCCTCCACAATACATACCAGGCCCTTTAGGTCTGGTAGGAATTTTAAGGGGGAACCCCCACCCCACAAAATGGGAAAAAAACAAACGTGGGGTCCCCCTACATTTTTTACCAGACCCTTGATTCGAGCATAGGCCCGGCAGGGCAGGAAAGGGGGGGCGATTGAGTGGCTCCCCCCTCAATGCTCCACCAGGCCACATGCCCTCGGCATTGGGAGGGTGTTCCCATGCCGATGGGGACAAGGGCCTCTTCCCCACAACCCTGACTCGGTGGTTGTGGGGTTCTGCGGGTTCTACTTGTACCCCTACTCATTCACTAAAGGGTTAAAATTCAATTTAACCCTTTAGAAGCAGGCGCGTTCAGCAAACATGCTGAAAAGTTCTCCAATTTTGAACTTTATTGCAAACCCCTTTGAAGTCAATGTGAGGCAAATCTTTAATAATATTTTTCCCATTTTCTAGGATAAATTGACAAGGGATTGTTAAACAAAGGACATGTGGAAGACATACATAGACATACATACATACCCAGGCAAATTAGTTTTTTTTTTAACAAATTTCATTTGGCAGGGAACAGTGATTTTAATAATGTATTAATGGCAACATTAAAAACCCTGAACCTGCCTGTGAAGTGGTGCTTATGTACAATTTATACAAACTAATAAAGCAAAAGTGAGATTTACAAAGAAAAAAATACTGTTTAACAACTTGAAGAATGGGGTGTTAAACCCCCTTCATGTCCAGGCCATTTTTCAGTATTCAGTACTAAGGTATTTTGACTCACATTTATTTAGTCATGCAACACCGTACCAAAATGATTTTAATATCATTTTTTTTAGACAGATATAGCTTTCTTTTGGTGGTATTTAATCACCACTGGGCTTTCTATTTTTTACTATATAAAGAAAAAAAGTACAGACATTTCTGAAAAATGTTATGAAACATTCCAAACAAGTAATCTTTCTTCATACATTTAGGCCAAAATGTATTCTGCTACATTTCTTTAGTCACATCGGGTAAATAGATACCAGACAGGTCAAGCCTTAAAATTGTGTGCGCCCGTGAAATTGCATAAAACTACCATACCCAAAATTGGCCATAGGCGATACTTCAAAGGCTTTTACCTCACATTACTCTAGTGTTAACAGTAAATGATAGTCCAAGAATCATTGCTCGCACTCCAACCTTCAAGTGGGTTTATAACATGTGTGGTGCCATCGTCATTTACTCATGTAGTTACTTTGTATGTAGGTGGTTGTATATGCGCTTACGTAGAGGTGGGGGACTTCAGAAAAAAATTGTGTTTTTTCAATTTTTATATGCGACTTAAATTTTGTAAAACTTTTTTTATTACGTAACTTTATTGTTATCAAGCTAACAAACTAACAAGCCCCCTATGTGTTAGCACAGATAGTCCTCTTTATGAAAACATCAGGGTTCTATTGTCCCTATTGTCACCTATAGACCCCAAAGAAGCTGATCAATCACAGATCGTGCATCACCAGCTTCTTCTCCGGCTACAGCAGCCAGAGAAATGACAAGCTGAAACAAGAAGTGATGTAATACACATTGCTTCTGATTTCAGCGATCAGAGGCGAGATCAGCTATTGGAAGCGTGCTGATCTCCCTCTGATCAATGTAAACAGACCCGTTATGCCAGTCTGCATGGAGGACAGCAGAGCCCAGGATAGCCCAAATGCTTGTATGTAACAGCCATCACTTGCTGTAAAAAATGTTTTCAAAGTTTCCTGATCCCACTCGTGCATGGGGGCACCGAGTGGGAAAAGATGTTTAAAAACATCCACCCACCCTCAAGTCCGAGCCATCCAGCCCTTTAATTACAACAGGCGGACAGCAAGCAGTTATAGTATTGAACATTTAATACTTTTTTAATAATGAATCTGGATCAAACATATATACATTGCCCGGCAAAGTGTTTATTTACGTTTTTTGGCAAAGCCCTTACAGTCATCATGTTTCTAAACATTTGGCTACCACTCTCTCTCTCTCCTCCCTCTACTAGCTTGGAGAAGAGAGGATACAGACGGGAGCATAGAGTAGGGTAGGGGCTTACCCTGTTGGTACCCTGTGTTTGTGGAGGGACAAGTTGATTCTGTAGGCAACTAGAACTTTTAAGCAACATGTAGCAGCATCCGTTGCAAGTGATTTAATCTGCATTTTAAATAGCTTAAAAATCCTTTCACTTTAACCCCTTAGTGACACATATTCAGAAAATGGTTTTGCTTCTGGGGACCAGGGCATATGTAAAATAGTATTTGAGGTTGAAAAAAGACACAGGTCCATCAAGTTCAACCTTTGTGTCTGTGTGTGTGCGTGTGTATATGAGTCCCTGTGTTGTCTAGTATTTAAGAGTACCTGTACCCCTGTATATTATGGTCTCCGAGGATTGTATGTAATTGATTTTTGAATGAATCAATATTCTTTGCAGATGCCACTGCTTGTGGCAGAGATTTCCAAAATGTAACCACTCTAACTGAAAAGAAGCCCCTGGGCCCTTTGTGGATAAATCTTTTCTCCACCAATTTAAGGAGTTTACAGTAAAAAGTTTACTGCTGATGTCGCTGTTAATCTCCTCCCTTCCAGCGTTAAACAAATTTAAATTTAGCAACCTTGTCTCATAGCTTTGATCCACCAGCCCCTTAATTAGCTTTGTTGCTCTTATCTGGACTCTCTCCCGCTCAAGGACATCTGTTTGGTGGACTGGTGACAAATCTGAACTACATACTCCAGTGATCTATAAGTGTCAAAATTATTGCTTTGTCTCTACAGAACATTCCATTTTTAATGCAAGACAGTACTCTGCTAGCTTTGTTTGCTGCAGCCTGGCATTGCGTGCTGTTATTCAATCTGTGGTCAACAATGACCCACAAATTTTTTTAAATCTATGTTTATTGTGCAAAAAACATATGGTGATACAGATACGGTATGC